GGGCAAAAATATACTATACATACATAAAAATCAACCCCTTGCTAAAATCAATAAGGGGTCTACCAATGTTAATTAAAATTTTATTTTTTCACTCAGATAAAACAACATTTACATCCATGAAGGGAGGGAATGTTTCAAAACACAGGATCTAGTGCATATCTTCTTGGGTCCTTCTGAGGATTTCTTTCGAACAAAAACACAATACGGATTCATTGAGAATCTGTCCTTTAACCATACAACTCTCTGGTAGCCCGTGCTTACGAGTTAGGATCCTCCCCGGTTTGCTGGAATCCTTGGGAGCGCCAGATCGTAGATCCATGTATACAATAGCTACGAGTTCTGCTATATGGTTACTGGATAAAGTCTCTTAGCATAAATGTAAATATGAAATATATGGCATCTGTATGAGACATGATCGCTTTTTAGTCAGATTTTAATTACCAAAAATTCATGCTTATAAACATACGATAGGGTATAAACATTCTATACAGAATGATCTGTAATAAGTATTTTTAAAAGCGAACTTCGATTTTTTGAGATTGGTTGATTTAATAATGTAGACCGTTTCTTTAGAACGACAAACGCTACGTACCCAATTTTCCCCGACTGAAAGCAGAAATGAGGGGACATCAGTACTAACTAAATGAAAAGTTGAATGCTTTTTCTTTATTATGCAACATTGACTTTGAAAAATTGTTGTACTAGTGCTTGCCACCTAAAACGTGCGATACCACACATCAAATACGCTGGATGTCTAATCCAGCCATTACTCAAAGAAAGCTGTTATTTGAGCTATATGTAACTAGTTCTATCTAACTAACTAATTCCATTTTGCTCCAAAAATAGCTTTGAAGAGGGATTAGGGACATGGACCGAAATGCATAAACGAATGAAATATATGGCATAAAAAATAATTGATGTTTTAGTTCAACAAAACCAACAACCAAGATTAAAAAACCTTCAAACCTTTAGAATTACAATTCAAGCGTTGGCATAATAAAGAAAATGCTTTTCTAAGCCTACATCACACCAGACCGCATCTCACGATAATAATTGCACAATTATATTATTAATAATTTTTATTTAGTTGTGTACTACAAATTGGTTTTTTCTTCACTCTTGTTTTAAGATATAGTTATTTCTTTTCTCAGTGTTTATTGTGTTATTGAATTAAAAAATACATCATTATTACAATTTTGTACGTATGGATTCTATCTCCATTCGCAGGTTTATGAGTAATTGAAACGCGTTTGAGCATTGTGCCATCTTCGGTGAAGAACTAGTTCTAGCAACTCAACAAATAACCCTGTGCCGGTTCTGCTTGAGTTCACCGATTCGCAGACTAAAACCCATCATCAACTCTATTTTATTTTAGTTGTACTGTCACGCGCCCAATAGGACCTAGATCACATTATCTAGATGGTAGTGTGGTTGTGACGAGGGAATGGGATTTTCGCTGGCAGGTGCAAGAGAGATCCCGAAATATAAGGACGATAGGAGAAAAGATTGAATACAATTTTAAATTAAATTCAATTATTTTGTTAAATGTTTGGTGATGTTATTCATGATACTCTTTCGTTATCCGTTTTATTTTATTTTAAAATTTTCTATGATCGTTTAAAATTCACTGAAGAGTTATTTATTTATTTGTTTCATTAAAATCCGTCGAGGAATATTTACTTTATTTTATATTCTTTATTCTGACCCAACCTCACAATTATTAATTACTTTTAATCATTGTTACAATTTATAATTTATAAGTAACCGTGGATACAGTCTTTTCGGACTCAATGGACCATCTTCATCAGCCCTAACTATTGGGTTGTCCGGAAAATAATGCAGGATTTTAAGTTTTCATTAAAAAAAATCTATATAAAATATTCTGTTTACGTTTACAGGATTACTCATTTGTATGAATGTCAACACTTATTAATCCTCTTCCAAATGATATTGTTTGTTTACCTCTGTAGCATTCCGCTACTTGGAAATAATTCAGTCATCCTTATAATGTCAAAGCGAGAATTTCGTACGATTTTCTTTTACGAGTTTAAACTCGGCCGAAGCGGAGCCCAAACGGCTAGAAACATTAACCAAGTCTGGGGCGAGGGTTGTGTTAATGAGTGCACTGTGCAAAGGTGGTTTAAAAAATTTCGGGAGGGAGATTTCAGCCTTGAAGATGAAGAAGGTCGTGGAAGGCCTTCCTCTCTTAATGATGATGTTCTGCGATCAGTGGTGGAAGAAAACCCCAAAACAACTGTTCGAGAACTTGCAGAGCAACTCAAAGTCAGTAAAACGACCGTCGCTGACCACCTCAAGGCGATTGGAAAAGTGAAAAAACTCGAAAATTGGGTTCCACACTCATTAAACGATCGCCAAAAAAATCAGCGCTTTGATGTTTGTGCATCACTTCTTTGTCGAAACAAAAATGACCCATTTCTGGCCAGAATTGTTACATGTGACGAAAAGTGGATTCTCTACGATAACACTAGACGTTCTGGACAGTGGCTCGACAAAGGAGAAGCTCCAATACATTTTCCAAAGCCCCCAACTCATCAAAAAAAGGTAATGGTTACGGTATGGTGGGCTTCATTTGGTTTAATACACTACAGCTTCTTAAATCCTGGCGAAACCATCAATGCTGAATCATACTGTAACCAAATTAATACCATGCATCAGAAATTGGCAGTAATGAAGCCCTCTTTGGTCAATCGGAAAGGGCCCATTTTGTTGCATGACAACGCTCGACCACATGTGTCACGTGTAACGTCACAAAAATTATTGGAGCTTGGCTATGAAACTTTGCCTCACCCACCCTACTCTCCGGACCTCTCGCCTACTGACTACCATTTTTTTAGACACCTGGACCACTACTTACAACACATAATATTCAAAAATCAAACGGAACTGGAAAATGCATTTATTGACTTTATCAATTCTAAAAATTCTGAATTCTACTCAGACGGAATTAATAAGTTACCAACACGTTGGGAGAAATGTATTGAGAGTATGGGAAATTATTTTGATTAAAGAACATTGCTTTAAAGTAACTAGTTTCTTTTTTTTTGTTTAATACCAAAATCCTGCATTATTTTCCGGACAACCCAATAATTACAGTCAAATTAAGCCTGTGTTCAACACGAATGTTATATGAATAAAAATAATTATTAAAAGCTCACTATGCGCAAAATTTCAATTCATCCAATAGTTTTTAATTTGGTTTTTGTCACATACAAATGAATATTGAATCTGAAACAAATAATTGTGTCCAGGTTCACGCTTAACATGGAATCGGCATATACGAATGAGACAACTCTGTAACAGACGCTACGGTTTACTCTACAAACTGTTAGCGACATCCAAGCTATCGACAAAAAACTTACAAATAACACAACGCTACTACAACCGATTTGGACATTTCATTCTAAAGTCCTCAGATCAGTTATAAATGCTCTTTATTATGTTAGCCCATTCAAATCTCCCTGTATTCTTACAAAAGGGAAAAATAACACTAATCCTGATACTTGTAAAAATATACAGATGCTGCCTGACAATGGGATACATCCCAAGCATATGGAGAACTGTGAAAGAGTTTTTATTCCGAAGGTTGCACGGAAAAACTACACAGATGTAAAATCATATAGACCAATCGGTCTAACATCCTTTCTATTCAAAACCCTCGAAAGGCTAGTTGAAAAACGTGTAAGGGGCAGCTATCTAAAAGGAAAACCCCTTCATAAATAACAACATGCCTATCAGAAAGGACAATCCTGTGACTCAGCACTACACCAAAGAACGATACACAGAGGATTTACTGAACAGCCAAAATGTAGCACTTACTAGTGCCTTCTTGGACATTGAGGGAGCATTTGATAACGCTTCCTTCGAAGCAAGGTTAATAACAGCGACGAACTGATAAAACCTCCTGCAGATGGATAGAATCAATGGTACAAAATTACTAGTTTACTATGATATATTACATATTTTTTTTTAGTTTGAGTACAGTAATTCTGTATATGTACAATTTTGTTAATTGTGTCACCATTGTACTTGTTTATGTATAGTAATTCTAGGATTTCACTTGTCTTACGGTTTGTCTTTACATCTATTATAATTGCGTTTATAATGTTTGCAACATGATTACTAAATTTTTGCAATAAATGTGTAATATTGTGCCGTTTTTACCTATGTCATTTTCATGGGTTTTCATCCTGTTTCTCAACGTTTTGGTTGGTCCTATATATTGTTTATTACAATATGTACATTTGACGCTGTAAACTACCTTATTTTTATATTTTTTATTAAGGCCATCAGGTGTAACTTTTTGACGTAAGATAAAAGTCCGGTAAATGAGAATGGCAAGACATTTCGAAATAGTAACCCCGTACCCCGTTAAGAAAAAAAAAAGGGAAAACTGTGAATTAACAAATTAACTTTAATTTAATATCAACCCCAATAGACTCCGTTACCGTTTTGCAGAGGTAATATAAATAATTAAATGAAATAACTCAAATATTGTCATTAGTCGGGGCGTCGCTATTTCTAACGATATTGCAATAATTTATCCACTCTTAATTTAAATTATAACCACAGATAATTCCTTATCGCATGAACTATTGCACTAATTATAAATAATCGTATAAACTGATTAAATTCGTTATAATTAACATATATATTTTGGTTTCTTTTCAAAGAAACAGAGAGTAGAATGACGATTGATACTATTCTAGTTTTCACAATTAATAATGAAAAATCGCCTTGGGATTATTATCAATAGTAGGAATTGGCTGTTTATCAAAGATAACTTACTGTGTAATCGCTCAACCAATTATAATCTGGAATTTTCTATTTTTTCACTTATAATAATTTTGCGTCTTCAACTAGATGTATTTTGCACTACGAATGCAAGTATTTCTTGTTTAAATGTATTGCTTTAAATGTTTATATACGATACTTAGAAATGTATGCAAATGTTTATATAATCGTCCTTTATTTTCAGATAGACTTTTCGCTGTTCTTCAATTTCGTAAGTAATACATCATTTTACTTTTCTGTTTGCAATGCTGCAAATTTACTTTTAACAGAGATTACTTCCTCCTAGATTTTTCTTTATAGATTTCTTCATCAGCTATATCACACCAATATGATGATAATGATGATGATTAACAGTGCACTAGGAAACGGAGGTTTACTATTCCACAAACATTATAGCCTTTTGCTTATTGTACTTTTCCTAATTCCTTAGTACAGTTAGCACAGGCTCGATCTCTATTTGAAGAAGTAGTAAGTCATTTTCAATACTTTGGTATTCTAGGGCATGTTCTCCTCATTCCAAAACCTACTAATGAGGACATCATAGAATTACCCAAGGTGTGTAGGTATTTTCTCAGATATCAATCCCATGAGTTTTTCCCTGTTTAATCATAGCAAAGTATTTGCAAGTATTGATGATTTTGGAACATGAATTTACCATGTCTGGCTTATCTAGATTCAGTCCTTTTCTCGTTTTGTTTTGTCTTGTCTTATTCCGCGATAGAGGATCCTATGTTTGAGCTTGTTATCCCGTTATGGGCGGATTCTATAGTTGATCATGCACATCCTCCCCTCTGGCAAGTTTGCCTGCTTGTTCCTTACCTGAAATCTCTTCGTACCTGGCGTGTGGATGCCATATGGATATAATATGGGGTATTGTTAGGTTGTTACGGTTTTCAACGTTTCGGAGGCTGGACCTAAAACTGTACGTCACAATAGTTTTACGGATGCTTGGGTTTGAGCTTATTGTTAGGCTGTTATGGTTTTGATATTTTTGAAAAAATTCACCTACTATTTTGTGTGTGATCTTTTTACGTGCTATTGCTTTTAAGGCCGCTTTGCTGTTTTGAATTTTTGACTGCAGATCCTCTTTTAAGATTTTCAATTGCTCAAACATTGCTATCCTTTTTTGGTGCCCTAGTGTATTTAGTTATACGTTTTCTTTTTCCACTTTGAGGTCAGTGGGATATTGAAAATGATGTTTCAAGCATTATATGACAATCGCCATTTGTAAGGAATGATTATTTGATTGTTGCATGCCCGAAATATTTATATCCCCGTTCCAATTTATTGGTTTCTGGAATTTTTTATGAGTTTATGAGCTTTTCCTATCTTCTTCTTTTATAAAAGTAAAAAAAGATTAACTTTTTTCTTGGGTATTTGATGGTGTGATTGTCATTCTCCCTGTGATGCATAAATATGCCAATTTTTGAACACGACTAAATTGTTGGGTGGTTTTTGTTGAAGTTTAGTACTGGTTAATTATCCAAAGAATATCATTGATTTTATTACTACCGTGTAAATACAATTTGTCATTTTTTGGTTTTTAATACCCACGATTTAGCTTGGTTTTTTTACCGGCCAATAATGATATATCACTTTTACTATGTGTTGTAGCTGATTGTTCCAAGTTAATTTCTTAGCAAAGGAAAAATATTCTAACCTCATTTGTAAACGGCGGCACTTGTAGAAACGGACTACTACTTCTATGTGAGTTTTGAGAGGTTAAGAATGTTTGTGTTAATGATAAGAACTTTATTTCTCTAAGAGGAGAGTCTCAAAATGTTGTCCGTATGAACATATGTTATTCTAAATCATTGTCACAGTGTCTGCACGAAATATCTGCATTATCGGGCACCAAATCATATTGAACATATATCTAAGAATAACATATTTTGGATAAATTGGATCAATCCGGTTCAACGACAATTGGCTCAATTCGGCGAGACTACGATTATACGGATTTTGGGCCCTACCAGTTCACACGGAGTAAGATAGAACAGAGAGATAGTCATATTTTAAACAATAGCCATATCTCAGAATCTGTGTTATCAATAATTCGAACTTCATTTTTAAATGTTAAACTAGAGGAAGTTATTAGCTGGATTACAACTCGAAGTTTTGAGCGACCATTTGTCGTCTCAAGCAGCCTTGTATTTATAATATTCTATTGTTGACTACAACGTAGAACAAAAAGCAATAAACCTCCAGTATAAATTTTATATATATCTCTCTCTCTCCTCTCTATCTCACACCCTCTCTCCGCCTCTCATTCTCTCTCGTCCGTTCTTATCGTTTGCGATATGTTTATCCAACCGTTGTTGGAACATATTCATCTTTTATGGTATCACGTTAATTCGATTCGAAGCCCCCTCGTATTTGTTAACAATCGTTTAACGACTTTGCTTATTTAGCTGATCCCGTATAAATAACGAGTTATGAGAAAATTGTCGGCCGAGATGAAAGCCGTTGTTAGGAATTGATGGCCGTTTAAACTTCCGCGAAGAGCCCATAAATAGGCGTTTTATAGATGTCGCATTGAAAAGAAAATGGAAAATTACTGATAAGAACACAAAACTTGACTCACTTTAGTACCATTGCCTTTTAATTTTTATGTTCCTCTCATTATTATTATTATGAAAAAAAATTCTTGATATTAACAACTTACAAGGGTCAGGCGACGGACGGTGGGATCACCGATTTTAATCAAATTTTCTTTGTGATACTGTATCGAAAAATATAGGACAATTCTCCCAGCGATCTTCCCAATAGGTCCAAAGAGCCGCAGAAAAAAATTACATAATTTTTGAACAGTATGTTTCTGTCTTTGTTGGGAATACTTGAATATTGTATATCAGTCAATGTATATTTTTTGTGTAGGGGAAAAAATGAATGCAAGAGTATTAAATGAAATCAGATTTACAAAAGCGAAAATCAATAAATTGTTCAACAAGGATTGTAGGTATTGAAATACATAATATGTGACCTAGAAAGGTAGCTATTATGACAAAATATGTTTTTTTTAACAAGAAACAAACTTTTGTCTCAACCAATACCTTACATAAAGATTAATTAATTGAAAGATGTTAATTGGTCAATCGGACCACGAAATTTAATGAATTTAATAAGATAAATTAAGTATATCTTCACTAAAGCTCTCGGTGAACATTTCATTTGTCGCCGAGAATCAAATAGATTACACGACATTTGAAAAATTGCAAGAAAGAGGGAAAATTCGAAATGTTGGGTTGAGAGTGGAAGTTGGTGTCCGAGTGGATCGAAGTAACGATAGCTCAAGTGATACAACAGCGGCGTTTTTAGCCGAAGGTCGTGGGTTCGAATCCCGCTCGTGGCACTGACTTTTTATCTCAACCAATACCTTACATAAAGATTAATTAATTGAAAGATGCTTTTGGTCAATCGGACCACGAAATCTAATTAATTTAATAGAAGAAACAAAGTTGATATTTGCATACTTTTTGGGAAAATAAAAAACGCATTTTTAGGAAGATCGCAAAAAAGTGACTGCCAGAGAACTTTACAGAGGCTTCAAACCCTATAAACTACACTTAAAACCATAAATAGGGCATCCGTAAATAAATTAGGACTGCTGGTATTAAATAAAATACAATAATCGATGAACTTTTGTTGAGTTCAACGACATCTTTCTTAGTTATAATGAAATGAAAAAATTGTTTATAAAGTTAAAAAATGAAAACGTTAACAGTTGTTATAACGTAGACTATGATAAAATCCGGAGGCGTTATGAATTTGTAAGTCCAGAATTCAAGGGTCATCGAAGGAAAAAATTGCCTCCAAATCTAACTCAAATATGTAAATAGTTTTATGGTTGCACAAAATTGGTAATTAAGGAAATTGATTTTAAACAATCCTAAATGAATCAGATTTTTAAAAAAATTATTTTTACCACTTGACTAGAAGCGTCGTTTGATTTTTGTACATTTTTATATATTTAATATTTTTCTCTTCGGACCTGCATGCCATTTTCTAATCTTAGAAAAATAATATTTATATAAAACACCCTTGAAATACAGGTAGAACAAAAAATAATATTTAAAATAAATATAAATATTATTAATTCATTAAATTTGTATTTCAGAAGAAAATTAATCCGAATCTTTTTTTGTCAAAAAACTATATTTTTACTGTGATGATGATGGATATTAAGAAGAAGGGGTTTTGTTCCCTAAGCACTAGACTTCTCGCTTATTATACTTTCCATGTTCCTTAGTTGAGAGCAATCGACTCGATCCTTCTTCGAAGAAGTATGTACTAGGTATCCCAGGTTGTGTTTCCAGTGAGCGGTTGCTTCGCGTTCGAAGATTAGTGGCTGTATTTTCCTCCTCATTGCATAATATACAAATGGAGTCATCATTGAATATACCCATGTTTTGTGGATGTTTCCCAGATGCCAGTGACCGGGGTTTATCCTATCATTCTTCTGAGTATAACTTTAGACCTCCCTAACATTACCCGTGAGTTTGGCAGTCTTATTGGGGGTTCATTTTCCTTTTGCGGAACCATTATGTGATGATAGGTTCAGGGCCCATGTAGCACCAGTGTGTCTGGTTTTTCGTTACCCACAATTCCCTTGTAAAATTGGATACTTTCATTGACTAATTTTGATGTGATTTTCTACATGCTAACGCTTTAATGTCTGCTTGACTATCCGAAATTATCAGGAATTATTGTATAGTGTATATGTTTTAATGAAATATGTATATATTTACATCTTGATTTTGATTTTTGTACTTGTTTATATATTTAATGTGTTTTATCTCGATCCTGCATATTATTTTCTTATCCCTGGAAAGAAAAGTAAATATATTGATATGTAACAACCTTGAAATACATATGCAAATGCTGAAAATAATTTGTAAAGAATATATATTTACTCAATATATTTAATTAGTTGAATTCGTATTTAAGTATTTGAACAGTGCTTAAAGTGAATCCGAATTTTTTTAAAAATATTTTAACAACTTTACCTGGAAAAGCATTCGTTTTTATAACTTTTATATAGCTATTTTTTTTTAATTCGCTCCTGCATATTAAAATCTAATATTAGATAAAACAACAATTATATGGATACACAACAGTTCTAGAAACACATGCGGAAAAAAGGCGGAAAACTATATTTAAAACAATATATTTACGTTAATTCTTCTCCTAGGGCTAATATGTAACAAAGAT